GGCCGATGCTCTCTCCCGACTGCTTTCCCGCCGGAGTGCGCCGGACGAAGACGTCATCATCGCTACAGTAGAAGCTGATGTCACCGCCACTTACGAAGAAACACTTGACCAGCTGCCAGTTACCGCGGAAGACGTACGCGCTGCCATAAAAAGGACGCCGTGTTGTTGGAGTTGCTGAACTGCCTCCAGACAGGACATTGGCCAAAAGCGCTTCCCGGAACGCCTTTGTTCAACTATAGGAGCCAACAAAAAGAACTCTCCACCTACAACGGATGTATCTTCTTTGGATCAAGGATCGTCCTACCAACTCCGCTGAGGAAGAAGAGTTTGCGAATGTTACACGATGGACACCCTGGACAAACCCGGATGAAGCTGCCTACCCGCAATTACGTCTACTGGCCTGGTGTTGAAGAAGACATTAAGAAGACTGTGGAATGCTGCCGGAATTGTCAACTTGCCGCTAAGAATCTTGTGAAAACTAAATTGACTCCATGGCCGATTGCGACTCGCCCAATGGAACGTTTGCATATAGACTTTGCTGGACCGCTCTATGGACATATGTACCTTGTCGTCGTGGATGCGTACTCCCGCTAGCCTGAAATCGTAGAAATGCAAACGACAACGTCACCAGCTACCACGCAGGAGCTTCTGAATATCTTCAGCAGATTTGAATTCCCACAAACGCTCGTTTCGGACAACGGCACACAATTCTCTTTCCAGTTCTTCGAGGATTTCTGCAGGAAGTACAGGATTAAGCACACTCGGACTCCGCCATTCCATCCGCAGTCGAATGGACTTGCTGAACGCTTCGTCGGAATTTTCAGGAGAGGACTTCTAAAGCTGAAAGGAGAAGTGAACCTTCCGGAAGCGCTGTCAAAGCTACTGCTATGTTACCGCTGTACGCCCTGCCCGTTCGCCTGATAATCTTTCGCCCGCAGAGATGTTTCTTGGACGGAAAGTGAATACACCACTCTCGCGTTTGGTCACTGACGCTAGAACTGCCACACCAAGCTGCTCTCCCGGATCGAAACCCGCGAGAGGCTCAGTACAATCGTCATCATGGAGCCAAGCAGAAGCGATTCGAAGTCTACGAGCTGTCTACGCTCGCAACTATCGCAATCCATCGAAACCTACTTGGACTCCAGGACGTGTACGATCAAGGATTGGGCGCTCACTATACAACGTCGAAGTTGAAGGATTTGTATGGAGACGACATGCCAACCAGCTGCGCCCTCGTGCTGTTTCCGATGCCACCCGCATGCTGTTAGACGAATTCGACCTTCTAGACTTCGACCTTCCCAGAACATCGACTTCCGCCGTGAACGTGGATATTCCCGCATCCGCTGCACAGGAAACTGATACCACCAAGGAGACGCCGCCAACTCTTGCTGTAGCCTAGGGACGCCGAGGACTTCACCACTCCACCGTCGCCGTCGCGTGCTCACCGTCGCTCGCAGAGGATCCACCAACCACTACACCGTCTCGAAGTGGATCCGTCGAAAAAACGATACAGTTAGAAACTTAAGGGAGGGGGGGGGGAGATGTTGGGGAGTGATGTATATATATGTAGTAATTGTTTTGTATCGTTTATCCTTGTTCTTGTTCTGTTTCGATCCCTAATACCTTGTTGTGCTAGATTCAAACTCTTTCCCATGAGTTCCCGCCTGTTCTCATGAAGCTCTCCTCGGTGCCTGGTACCGAATGGTACCTCACAGCCTTGTGTGTATATATAGGTAGCACAGCCAATTGATGATTCATTCGCATTCACTCACTATTCTCGGACAGCTAATAAACTACTAAGTATTCCACTGTGTCCGGTTCAACCCAAGAAAGTCAAGGACTACAACAGTAATAATAAAGTTTATTAGGTGGATCAATGAATATCGAGTAAACAGTAGCGATTGATGAAGGGAGATATCTGGGGATGAGCGGACCACTCCGCAGCCGGAATCCGGGACTTCTTCTCTCTTCTTTCTCCTCTCGTCCCTCCTCTAGTGCGCCGCTCGGCGCGCTATCAGCATCATCTCATCTTCGTCGACCGTGGCATTCTGTAAACGTCTGTATAAGTATACGGATCACCCTTACAATAGTCCCAGAGGTAAAGTCAAGTTACCTGAGCTCCTTAAACGTACTGTTCTGCGCGCATAATCGGTCTCTGAGTTCTTGACCTGCCGTAACTTACGGGTCAAGCTTGGAGTGTGGAGTAAACGTCACTCATCGGAAGCAGTGGTTACTATCACAACTTTTTATTTCATCTTTGCAAGTGTCTCGCTTATGCAGGGTATGCTTTTCTTGTCAGATATCTCCACATTTTCCTTTCTGAGGTAAGGTCTTTGTCTATTCTTAGGAGTAGAGTCGGCCTTGATTCTGTCCATTCACCACATCTTGGGCCTCTGGGTGTTTTGCCTGGTGCCTCAACGCCATAAAATTGCGATGTAATTTTCCTCCCTCCTGCGCACATGCCTGCACTTTCTGAGCAACTGGAGCTACTTCCATTCGGGCTGGCATACATCGCAGATGTGATTCTTTCAGCGTGATTCCCAAGGTCACCTTGTTTCCATGACACTGAGCTTACGCTCCTGGCTCCCCGTACATGGCATTCACAGTGGTGCTGGGTGGATAATTGTCCGGTACAGTTGGGACTTGTTGCACTGTCATCCTCTTATTTCGCAAAACTCCTGGTTAGACTCTCCATTTCATCCATGCTGTCTTCATCCTGCCGTCTTGCAGCTCCTGGTACTTACTATCAACACATCATCTGCATAGAGAAGTGTCCAAGGAGGTTCTGAGGTGGTTTCATCACGGCTTTCATCACAGTGACGAAGAGCACGGGAGAGAGGACTGATCCTTAGTGAAACCAACCTTGATCTGGAACTCATTCGATTGTTCTGCAGCTGTTGGCACGTGTTGAAGCGTTATGGTAGATAAATTTATCCATTGAACGTAATCCTCTGGCACCAAATGTTTTCGAAAGAGCCATTATATGACTTCTTGGGGACCTCATCGAAGGCTTTCTCCAGGTCCAGGAAGGCTGCAGCCGTTCCTCTTCTCTCTTTATTTCTCCATCATTAGCTCAGCGGAGTGGATGGCCTCGCTTGTACCTACTACTTTCGAATCCGTACTGATTCGATGACAACTCTATGTTATCTCGAAGTCATGTTTCGATTATCCGCTCGAGGATCTTTAGAGTGTGGCCCATCAGGCAAACTGATTGGTAGGTTGCGCAGTCTGCTTGTCTTGCTGGTGTACTAGTTGCGAGGCATACTCTTGCTCCTTATGATTTGATTGAGCAGACTTGCTAGCCATGGTGCTCCAAACTGTCTACACGTTTTCCAGAACTCGCTTTGTATGTCGTCTGGACCAGTCGCTTTGCCACTCTTTGTTTTTCTAGCGCCAAAAATATTAAATCGAGCTCTGACGTATTTAGGGCTGTCAATCCGTACTTCTTTATGATTTAAAGATTTTAGACTTTTCTATCTACCCTGAAGTTCATTTTGGACTTTGGATCTTCAGAGCACCCACGGTTATAGGCGGAAAGGTCAGCTATTGCAGCGAAACTAGGGCGATAGCTAGTTTCGCTGCAATAGCTGACCAAGCAAGATAGCTTAGTTGAAGGCAACGTCCAGGCAAGTCTGGACACATGGGCTCTCACGTGGATAGTAATTCTGGGGCCCTAACTAAGCCACTGCTCAACCGGCAGCTCAGGTAGTGCTCAAATGGCTGCAATATTCCCCTCGAAGCTGTGGACCCCGGATCATATTTCGCACGGATTCATGGCGTGACGCGTGGGTCCTGGCGCGAAACTGCCATGAATCCATGCGAACTATCGGGTATATGTCAAGATGAACGATAGCTGGTACCAGTGGCGCGCGGGGTCATGAACTGGCAATAACGTGTTCGCTCGAAGCTCCGCCCTTCTGCGGCGGACGAGTTTCTCGGACGATACCGTCAAAAAAAAATTTTTGATAGTGAGATATAAGCTTGTTGCAAGTTGGGGTGAAGCTTGACTATTTCCAGAATCTTGTTTTGATTTTTTGTTTCTTTTTTGGCAATCAATGAACAGCTGATATGTTGATCGTGAATTGCAAGAGGTTTTTTTTTTCAAGCATTTTCGGAACGATTTCCTCGTACCTGCAATGAAAAATCATTTTGGACAAGCCTATTAGAAACAAGTACTTGAAATACATTAAAAAGGCTTGCGAACTAATTTTATAACGAAAAATGATCTGAAAACTAATTTTCAATTCAACTGAAATTTTGACTACTGTTATCCAAATTGCAACCAACTGAAGAAGCATGAACAAAGTATTAGAAAGTTTTCCAATAGCTGCAACGCATTCCTATGCTAATTAACAGGAGGGCGGAGCGATCAGCGCACCGCGTAAGGTACCCAGCTGGCGGCTGGCACATGCTATCGTTCATCTTGACCGCCACCCCCAAATTCGCACTCCGCTCAGTTTGGTGGACAGCGCCTCTAATTTGGTCTCAATAAGACTCTGGAGGAAGGTTTATCTACTGTAGGCACGAAGAGGAGATTCTGTCAAAGGTACCGTCCACCTCAAGTTGAGGGTCTTGAGCTTTTGGCAGCATATGACAGTAGGGCCCCATCAAGCCAACGCCCAATCGCAGCGCAAAATGTCATTTCGGAAGCGAGAAAATCGCTGCGGAATAACGAAGATGCACGAGGACCCCCATCCATGCCCGCCCATTTGTGCACGCTGATCCAATCACCGTTCCGGAAAGCCGGCCTGCGAGTTCTCCGGAACGGGGATTGTTGGGGGTTTCGCGGATTCTCGATTTCCTATTCGAAATCAGGGACATGAGAAGGCCCCGGAATGATCAAAACATGGAAGTCGAGGATCTGTGTGTTGTCTTCAAGCCGTCTGCGAGTTTGACTGTCACTGCACGGCACGGCGCAATCGCGCTCGAATGCGAAACATTGGTCCTAGGGCGAAAAACGAGACGTGCGTGACGTCACGACTTTTCCAATGTGTATGCACGTTGAGGACAATGCGCGGTGTACTTTGTAGGTTTTATCTTTTCGCGCTCTTTTGAGGACTTATTTAGAGGCTTTCGAGAACTTTATGGAAGATGAGAGCTTGTTGGTTAATTCATTAGACGCCATTCACTTAGAAGACAATGTTATTATTGTCGGTCATTTTCCCATTGTCATTCTTTGTCAACAAAAGGTGCTCAGTTCTTTTGAGTCTGGACAGCTCTGAACAATCTTTCAGCTGAACAATCTCTCAGCTCTTTACTCACCGTTTTCAATACGATTATCTCATGCTCTCCTTTCAGTAAGTAATCTTCCATCTTTGCATTGTTTTATTTTCGAAAGATAATGTAGGCAGATGTTCCACCGTTCCCACTCCCCCCTCTCTTGGCTGCATGTTGTCCCACTATATTGCACACACCTGCAAACGCCGTTCTTCACATATCTCCATACCCGTTTCATTCTCTCTTCGTCTCTCGACCAGGAAATCGATATGAAATAGCCAAGGTTTTGAAGAAACGCCGTATTTCCGTCGAGTTTCTTTACCATGCCTGAATTGCCTCAACTCTTTGACGTTTTATTAGATTGTCAATTTTATGTGGATGACATAGTCAGACTGTCATCGATAGATATTTTCGGTTTTTGTGTATTTACGTGGAAAATGAGAAAACTGCGAAGATATCGATCTGATCTGGTTGCTAGTCAGTATACTATAAAACTATAAAATGCGAAATGAATCTGTTCTCTTTACGCGAACAAGAAATTTTGCTGAGCAACAAAGTGGGCAAAATCAATCGTAAAGAAGACAATTTTCTTCTCAAGTGAAATGTTTCCAGACAATATCAAAGTGTCAAAGAAGAGTTTGACCCCGTTCCATGTTCCACTTGTGCAAATAAGATTAGTCTTTTGGATGTCAATTATAATAGTAACGAATGGGTTAGGTTTGGGATTGCTGTCACTGTTTTGATTTTTCAATTTTCTCTTTTTTTGTCGAAAAGGTCTGTGCCATCTTTTTTCATCCACAAAGTTTATTCTAACACACGCTGCCTTACGACACTGATGCTCATAGTTTCTCTTTTTTATAGTCTTAGCACCTGCAAATGAAGTACCCTTGTTGATCAAGGATAATGAGGACATCACTATTTTGAATGGTCATATGATTCAAGTAGTATAGGAGTGGATATAGCTCCGGATTTCTTTTGAATTGAGTAATCCTTCATGAAAGTTATCTTTGGAAGAATATACTCACTTCGGCAGACATCATACTTTATCCACATGATCCGCTCAATTCACTTCACGCACTTCGCTAATGGTCAAATAACGAATTGACCAGTAGTGAAGTGGATCAAGTTTGGTGCGTGCTTTCGAGTAATTACGAAAACAATATGCGAGTTTTTCCAGCGTAGCCGCGCACATTCCAAATTTATATAGTGTTCTTGCGTTGGCACAACATTTGGGCGTAAACAGTGACAATGCGCGTTCTGTGGCCATTTTTAGGCGCAAGTCGCAAGCACCTTTTTGACATTCACAAGCATGCTTTTTGTTTCCGCGCAAATGTTATAGTCGCCGCAAAAGCACTATTTTAACCGTCCATTCTTTCCAAGATTATCAGTATGTATTAGAAGTGTCTGTTATTCTCCTTCTACGCTACAACTTGGGAGCGATGTTGATATCACTTAGTCTCAGATTAGAGATTTCGCGAATATGTGCGTGTGTGCGCTTAATGAGACAAAACTCACAAATTACTTCATTTTGGATGTCACCACTTCGTGGATGGGACAAGTGTGAGCTTGTAAAGCTACTAGGCGCAGTGTTGTCGAGTCTTTTAGTCACACAATGGACGATGGTCAGACCGACACTGACATGCTATGTGATTTGGGAGCCCATGCACTTGCGTCGTTGACAAGATAAAACTTTAAAGATTGTTCTTTCTTTCATTACGTGAAAAAATTCAAAAAAAGGGTAAAGCACGAGTTTTGGATTGTTAAGGGCATTGTATCGACAAAATGGATCTTCTCTGATTTCGGTGGATTTGGGTAATAGACACCCCAAGTACACTGCAGCCCAAACCCCTGCTGCCAGTTCATGCGCTAAGTCCTAAAAATGGGCTTCAAAACTCCACCGACTCCGCTCACTCATTGGAAGTGGGCGGGGTTGGTGGCGTTTTGAAACGTATTTTTCAGACTTAGCACATGAATAGGCAGATGGGGTTTGGGCTACAGTGTACTTGGGGGTGTAGAGTCATAACTCCACCAAAATCTAAAAGGATCCTTTTTGCCTATCCACTGCCTTTGAGCTTATGCAGTAAGCTTACCTTCTCATGCATATTTATGGAGCGTCGTCAAGACGTAGTTCCGTAATTCGTGGATTTTTTTTTAGCAGCGTTTACTGAATTTGCCGATCTGAGGGTGAGATAGAAGCTTGGTAATTATTGGCAGTCTCAAAATTGTAAAATAAACTAATGATAAATTCCATATGAAACTGTTACTGCATCAAAAATTTGGACTTTAGTCACTCAATGTACTAAGGTTTGATAGAAGAACATATGAAATATCGGAAGTTTGTTCGAAAAAGAGTTATGGAATAGGATCTTTTTGAATGGCATCCTTCGTCCCCCTTCGAACATAGTAGGTAATTTGCTAGTGCTTGCTGCTTGCTTGCTCAAGATCTAGTACTTGGGGGGGGGGGAGGGTTGAACGGAATTATATTTGAACATGTAATGTTTATCGTGGGGAGTGACTTTGTGTTGGACGGTAGCCATAATCAGCGTCTTCGATGTCATTATCATCAGTCAGAACATTCCAATTATTTGTCGATTATAGGAAATTTACGTGTGATTGGCATTTATCATTTTATTCTACAGGATCTCCAATTGCTCTTGCTATGCAAGATATGTTTCACATTTTCGTTGTGTCATCTCAGTATCTACTTGATTGTGCTCAGTCATGTGGGCTACGAATAAAACTCATACAGTTTCTCTCCTTGTCCTTGCTTGTGAGTCAAGAAAACACCAAAATTTGGAATGGCGATTTCTTCTGCTATTGAGTTTCAACCGCTACCTGACAGACAACCTGCTACTAGACATTTGATTATGCAGCTCTTAGAAAAATGGATTAGCCTGAAACTCAAAGGGTTCAACTGCCACCATTTGCTGGGTTTTCGTTATTTTTTTCTCGAAATTTGGTCCATGATCAGGTTTTCCATTTGCGGCGAATTCGTTCGCAATAATCTCCTCATTGATTTGATCTTATCTACACAGCTGTGCTGATTTATCACTGTTGCACAGAGACGCGCCCTTGCATTGCACAAATCACTAAGTTGTCGTTCACTTAATCATCCTTATGTCTTTTCAGAAGCTCCGGCAATGTCGGAGGGACCGAGCCAGCGGCTGAGAGGTCGTCCTCGTGGACGTATGGAAAGTTTTTCCATGTCTCGAGGAGGCGACTCGTCACCGTATGGAGCTCATCGTCTCTCCAAAAAGCCGCCGTCATCGCTCACTAACGAGTGTGTGACCAATGTTGAACCTGTTCTACTCACGCAGAGATGGACGGTAGGTGTTAACAAAACAATTTTCCTTTTTTTTCTTCGTCTGTCAATAGTCGTTGGATTTTTAGGTAAACAATTTCTCATCACTACTCAAGTTATCTCAACCTGGGCTATGTCTGAGGAGCAGCGTATTCAAGTTAGTTTGAAAAAGTCATTGTTTTTCATTATAATTTACATGTAATTTTTTTTTCATCTGCACTTGATACCATTTCAGAGACCCCTCAATGCCTGATGCTTGTTGGCAGCTCTGTCTATATCCAGGAGGGAAACGACCGGAAAATGCGAATAATGTATCGCTTTTCTTGAAAATGTCTGCAACCTCTCCATTGAAGGAGGTGAACATATTGATTGTTTTTTGTGTCCATTTTTTATTATTTATCCGCTCAGGTCATCGTCAAAGCAGAATATCGTTTCTTTTTCCTTGATGAAGACGATGAGATCAAGTTCAGCAATGTGAATATTGGCGATTTCCATGCCAAACCACCGAAAGGAGGACATTCATGGGGTTTACGCAATATCCCAAGACAAAAGGTTTGGCCTTGTTTGCCTTTTCTTTGAAGCGAGTTTGAAAAGGCAGAAGGTTGAGCGAGCCTTTTTGCGTTTTACTTTAAAAAAATTTTTGTTTCCACGTCTAGCTGCGCATACGAAGCATTTTCAACTTGACCGTGACAGTTTCGATCAGTGAAAAATGGATTACCCGTTTTAAGCTTGTTTTTGCTTTCTAAGGGTATTATTCCTAGTGAATTATTTGGTTTTGTCGCATGTTTAGTCCGATTTTTACACGTGAGCTTCTCTTCGTAGCCCGCTGAAACAAAAACTAGTAATTCCGCTTTTTTCAGGTTCAAAATAGCATTCGTGCAGACCACTCACTGGTGATTTCGTGCACGATAGAGCTATTACCTGATGCAGGGCGTATACCTTGTCGGAGAATTGAACCTAGCGCTTTGGTTATCACTGATATGGCGGAAGTGTCGAGAGCGCATATGCAAAATGGTAATAGCTTTTCGTTCAGCGCGAATAGTTGTTGCAAGTGATCGTGAATTTTCCAGAATTAGCCATGTTTACTGGTGAGGAATGTGCACCTTACTCGGATTTGACTGTAGCAGTCGGACCAGAAGATGATCGGGTAACCTATGCAGTGCATAAATATAAACTTATCACACATTCTGATGTATTCCGTGCCATGCTGGAACATGATATGGAGGAAAGCAAGGTAATTCACCTACCGAAGCGGGTTTCGAACGAATTATTCTCATATATTTAGACCAACACTATAATAATTGAAGAATTCTCGCACTCTGCTGTAAAAATTATGCTTACATTTATCTATACGGGATCGATATCTCCGCCTGAGCTGGAGCTCGAGGTAATTTCCGCTCACAAGATTAATCCTTTGTTTTGGTGTATATATTATCATAATTAAGGATGCTTCGGATGTAATGCAATTGGCGGAGAAGTACAATATCCCGGCTCTAAAAACTATGTGCGAGCAAGATTTGATATCAAGGTGAGGTGGTATTTCCGTTGTTTTATTTCTTTATGGCATTTTTTCATTTCAGAGTATGTGCTGCTAATGTTGTTGATTGTATGGAATTGGCAGATTATCACCAAGCGAGTCACTTGTATGAACATTGTCTCGATTTTGTAAGTTTGCCTTGATCTTTCTGCTCTTTTTATCATTGTGAGTGCTTTGTCGAAACTTTTTGTGCGTTTTTGCTAATTCAGAATTCTTTAGTATTCTTAATTTTTGCTGAGCTGAAAATTATACTCTTAAACGTTTTCAAAGCATTTGGAAAGCAAATTCGCTTTTGGTTCCCATGGAGTTATTTATTCATGGATGTATTGTTTGCGTGACAAATCGATAGTCACTAAGCAGGGGTGTCGATCGTTTTGCGATTTTTCGCTTAGACAAGCAGCTCGGCTGTTGAAATAGAATCCCGCAGCACCTGCATCCCTTCTCATAAAACGATTTGAGGTTTTGAGTAGTGCTTGTTGAATGATAATCGTTTGCGCAATAGCGGAAGAGGTTCCGTTCTAAAGAGTTTCTTTACCACAAACCGAACACAAGAACCCAAATGGGGTGAAGAGTTTGGTTTTTGCACAAGGTTGGCCACCTGATGTGTAAGTGCTGCTTCGCTGGTTGAGGCGATATGCCAATCAGTCGCATACTTTGGCATTACTCGAATTCATCAAGATCAGAAATGCAGCATAAATTGTAAAAAGAAAGCTTACAGGCTGCTGAATACTGGAATGAAGTTAAGTATCCTTAATGTAAGGATTGGCTGGATTTTGCTTTTCCATTTTGAGTGTGTTCCTGTTTAGATGAATGCGAATAGATGTGATACACTCAACACGGAATCCTGGTCGTCACTGAAAGATCGAAATCCGAGGCTGAGCAGCTCAATTATGGAAAGGATGATACGCTCCGATCACAGCAACTCTCCACCAGTGAAGAAAAGTCGTTTATAGTAAGGAATTGATGGTTATGTAATTTTTGATGTAAGTTTCTGGTGCTCTTTGTGATTTTCGTGTTTATCGCATGATATATATTCCTTTATATGTTTCCTCGATAATATTGCTGTCATATATTTTTTAGAAACGTTTTTGTATAGGAAGTGTTTTTTCGTCACCGCACACACACGCGTCTGAAGTACATTCTCATGTCGTCGTTGCTCTGCCTCATTGCGCTCGCTTATATCTGTGTTCAGTAGTTCCAGTTTATTGCGAGACATACATTAGGGTCGGTGATGCTAACGGGTTAATATCTTTGTGTATGGCTTCACAAATAGGTATGCCTTCGTATCAATAATCATATTGTTCATTAATCCACTTCCTGAAGACCAAATCTGCTTGAATTTATGTAAAGCAAAATGTAGTTTTTCGTTATCCGTAATTTCTATGTAGAATTTTGCTCGTTTCCTGACCCATCCTATCGTCTCATAATATCACATTAATTTTGTTTGTCATGGTGCGCTTATGGGCAGTAGCTTTAGCGGTCGCTGTAATGCAATGTGATTTTATTTTTTGCCTTTCGCGTTCTGCTGCGGCTTCTCGCAATGTATATATCCGCCATGAACGTCTGTGTTTGTTATTATTGCTGAAGTAAACTCATGAAGGCTGAATTCGTGTTGTACCTTTGGTAGGTTTGGTCCTAAGTACTACACAAACTACGATAAACATATATGCAGTGCGTAGACGAGTAGTACTGTTTTATGCACACGTTTCTTAGGTCGTAACTTCTCTCTCCTACTCTGCAAACATGGGGCGTATGGAGGTGGAGAAGCTTCGATATCTGGAGCGAGAAGATTTCCGAGTTTTGATAGCTGTGAGTGTGTTAGCACTATATCACTACCTCTGTGGGATGCACTGACTCGGAAATAAATTTTGAGCTGATCTTTCAATCAAATAATTGCTAGATGTAAAAAATCTCCTTGCAGATTTTACAAATGAGCGGCATTATAGTAATTGCTACTCTGTCTCATTTGCAGTGAGCCTGTCTTGAGCGGCTTGAACCCGCGCGACCGCCTCGCTTGGCTCTGCACCTCTTTTGCAAACGTCTTCTCTGATCATTTTCTCACGATATTTTAGTGATGAATGACTTTAGAGGACGCTTGCGAAAGCGGTGCAGAGCCCAAGCGAGGCGGCGCGCGAGGTACGAGTTCCTCGAGTCGGACTCACTTTGAACTGATAGAAGGTATCTGCTTCTTTCAAGCGAATAACGAGCGAATAGTTGAAGGGAACATCGAACCAAAGTGCGTTGCATGAAGATTTCTTGTTTGTGCCGAAGTATGCCTGATTTTTTTACACATTCTCACAAGCTTTCTACCGATGCCATGTCTTCTGGTCAAAAATTTGAGTAAAAACGCGAGCTGCTGTTTTTAATTATAATGAATAAGTTTTTTCAGGTGGAAATGGGGATGAAAAATCACGAAATCGTTCCGTTACCTCTCATATCAGCTATCGCTGGTATCCATCGAGGAGCTGTCGCGCGTATGCTCTCCGATCTCTGCAAACACGGCTTGGTGGCATTTGAGAGAAGCAAGAAATGTTGGATTCAATTTCTTTCGTTTGCTTTTTGGCCTTTTTGCATCTTTGCCATCATAATCATCTCTAGATGACGGCTATCGTCTCACCGTTTTGGGTTACGATTTCTTGGCGTTGAAAGCACTATGCACTCGTGGTGTTGTTGGCAGTGTAGGCAATCAGATTGGAGTTGGAAAGGAGTCAGACGTATATGTGGGTGGAGATCCGGAAAGAAATGTGAGTAAAGATTTTATGATTTTGTGATGCAGAAGAGTTTCTTATTCCTTGAGGACATTCTTGACTTTTTCAGGATCTCTGTCTCAAATTTCATCGTCTTGGTCGGACGTCTTTCCGAAAAATCAAAGAGAAGCGCGATTATCATAAGAAACGACATGCAGCATCATGGCTGTATTTGAGTAGGCTCGCAGCCACAAAGGTGATTTTCCATTTTGGAATGGCTCGAAATTTTGGAGAGGAGAAGATTCTATTTGGTCTTCTGAACTTTACTGCACCCTTTTGATTATAGGAATATGCATTTCTCAAAGCACTGGCCGAACATGGCTTTCCTGTTCCTCGGCCTGTGGATGTGTGCCGTCATCTTGTTGTGATGGGACTGATTGAAGGCGACACTTTATGCCATGTTGATCACGTTGAAGACGTTGGAGGACTATACGATAGGTCTTTAATCATTTTTCTTTGTTTTCCTCACCTTCATAGCAGCATTTCAGATTAATGTCACTTATAGTGAAATTTGGGCGACACGGTTTGATACATGGAGACTTCAACGAGTTCAACGTCATGCTATTAGAGGTAGGCGTGTTAGTTTTTTACCGTTCAGTTTTGTTTATAGAACGCACAACTCCGATTTTTGAGTATTTTTTCCTTTTTTTCCAAGATTTTTTGTTGTTTGCTACAGTGATCGTTTCAAAGGGTGAGAAAGTCATCGTCATTGATTTTCCACAAATGGTTTCTATAGACCACCCAAACGCTCAGTTCTACTTTGAGAGAGATGTCGAATGTGTTAGGACCTTCTTCCGGTTAGTTTAACTGTTTTCGTTTACCTCAGCGGTGAAGTTCCTGTTTAGGCGAAAATTTGGTTATGACTCCGATGACTTCCCAAAGTTTTCTGAAGTGACTCGTAAATACAACTTGGATGTTGAGTTGGAAGCAAGTGGATTCACCAAACAAATGCAGATTGATTTGAATAAGGTGGTTCTCTATCCGCTATCAAACAATAGCAGGCGAGAAATCCCGGTTTAGGCTTATGATAGCGGCAATTTTCAAGCACATCAAGATTTTGATGATTCCGATGAAGATGAAGAGACAGATGAAGTAAGTCCTGCAAGAAAACTCTCATTTGTAGATTTACTACCTTTTTTTAGGTAGACGTAAATGCCGCTTCTGAGAGTGAAAGTGACAGCAGTACAATTCAAGACGAGGATGTTGACAAGGAACAATTACGGGAAGAAGAAAAGCTAAGAATGAATGAAGTGTGGTGATATCTGAGTCTTCCTCTCTTCTGTTTTGGCTTTTTCTCTCCTTTTTCGTCGTACTATGCTCTGCTCTAGGCAAAGCTGCTGTCGCAGTCTGAACGTTTTAACAATTGGCTTGGAGACGCTACAACACAACTTGAAAAACTAGTCGTTGAAGAGGCTGGGTCCAGTGATGGCGACAGTTGCCCTCTACTAATGCATCCAAAAGAAGTCGATAGGAAGGAAGAACATCGACCGGAACGTGAGCCCTACGTACAAGCCCGTGAAGAACTTGATCGCATTGAAGCGCAGACTGCAGAAGAGCCACATACGAGTGAAGTAAGTGCTGTTCTACACCTATTTTTGTTCTTATTGCACGTATATCGTAAATCATAGTAATCTTTGCGGAAAAGTTGTCATTTATTCGTAGAAAAAAATATAAGTGAATCAGAGTGATGATTATTTGTTACTTTGATCTGTTATAGGACGCGCATGCATCGCATCGATCCAGAAAATTGCGGGTTGCTCCATCAGTAACGTCTACAACGTCCACTATCCCACCAGAAGAGATCAAACGAAGAGTTGCCCTCGAAAAACTTCGAAATAAGGAGAAAGTAAGCATTTTAGGGATTCGACTTTGCTGTCCCATTTGAGGTTTATCGTTTTTTTTGCAGTTTAATTGAATAAATATTTGTTGTGGTTGTGTTATTCAGCGTAAGAACCTACTTCATGAGCTCCCTTGTAAAGAATTCCCAGATGGATATCGGACCAGTAGGTCATCGATATTGCGATCATTGATTTAGTTACACTCTCTCCTCCCCTCCCCCTCATCGCATTCCCCCCCCCCTCTCGTGTTTCCCATACTGGTATCTCGTGCTTCTGTGTATGTACATCATTTGATTGCCTTATTGCCTTCAGCAAACTTATCGATCAATATTTCTTTTTAGACGAAACTTCGTGTCAAAGGCAAGCAGAGTGCTGTTGGACGTGGACGTAAAGAGAATCGTCATACAATAGCCGAGTACAAAGGGTGGATATAGGTGAAATGGACTTTCAATGTGCACCATGGTGCTATTATTGGCTTTTCCATTTTCACTTCATTTGTACAATTTGCCTATAACTTTTGCATGATTTTTTGGATATCGACTGACCCAAACACAAACTGTGACATCCCCTCTGAGCTTTTTTTTTCGCAGTTTTACAGTCAGCTGTTAGTTGCTAAGCTCATTTCTAGACTAGCCAAACTCCTTAAGAAACGCACTTATTGTTTTCTGATGTAAAATTTTTTGATTTGTTATGCCACATGTTGTTTTCTGTTTTCTGTTGAATTTGAGATATAAACTTCGAAATTTTTTTGATACTTTCAATGCAACTGTTTTGACATCAAAGTTCTCTTTTTGAATTGCTGAAATCTGGTTGTGCTGTATTGTCCTCAAATTGCTCTATCAGGACATCATAAAAGACGACTCCAGCTGGGGGAAACCGACTGTACCAACAGTATGAAGGTAGGCTTTTCTTCAATTAATTAGCTCGTCGTTTTCGCACAATCATGTGATTTGCACATGAGATCCAATCACACTTGGTTAAAGTGTTTGTTCAATTTGTATTTCTGACTATTGTTTACTATTTGTGATGTTTATTGACCTTCAATTAGTGTGCTCATGCAGCCTTGCTGCATTGGTCGATATGTAGAGGTATTTTCCGCTCACGTGCATCTTGTTATCTCGAGAACGTGAGAGAAATAGAGGCGGATTTTATGTTTCTCTCACATCAAAAACCATTTCGGTTTTGGAATGTTTGCTTACTCAAAGCTCTAATGTTTTGTTTGGACTCCCTTGCGTGAATGAGATGGTTGAACAATTTTTTGACTTTCGATTTTCTTTGGCAGTAGCCTCTATTTTCGTTGTGTTACTTCGTCGGTCTACCCTTTTCTTTCTATAACTTGCTGTAGTGGTTTTGAGTTCACACGGGTTTGCCGTAGACTTGAACTTGAATGCAAGTTGTATTCAATTTTTTATTCGTTGTGCTATCTATGCAACGGTTTCCTAACCTCCTCTCCCTATGATTTCGGTGGGACCCCACATGCATTTGCAGTCAAATGTGAGAACAGCGCAGCATGTTTACTTACACTTGAGTGCAAGTTATATACATATGTTCTCGCCAATGTTTTGCACACAGTGGAATGCGGAGGGAACTCAGAATATTCATTTTCATTTATTCATTATCACATAAATTTGCTGAAGAATGCCAAGCAGCTTGTAAAGTAACTTTCAAGATCTTATGGAAGGGACTTCTTTATGCACCAAGTACAAAACTGGTGGCACTTTTGCACAATCACAACAACACGATTGTTCGATAGAAAAACCTGTTCTTTCCGTATTCGTAAGATTGCAAGCTCACATTCCATCACAAATGGCGAATTCTCGTGAATATAACAAACGCAGTGGACGAGAGATTTCAGTGACAGTGTGACGTTATGTCCTTGATATTAGTTAATCTATGTTACCAACGGCAACAACGTTATCATCTCGTCATTGCATTTGCTCGCGATTTGATCACGCTACCACACCTTCTCTCCCTTCTGCTTCGGCCTTTTCTCCTTTTTTTGGCACACTGGAGCAATTTGCTCGGAATATAAAAGAAGTATAATCGAGTCTCTTTGATTCATTCAGTTAGCGTTTCATTATTTTATTTACTCTTCGTTCTCCTTATCCGATGAATTGAGTCAAATGTGAATACTCTTATTTTTTTTCACAATCTAATGAGCTTGAGGGAAAAAAAGTTCACCATAGACTTTTCGTTTACTGAAATCTAAGACTCAATCTTCATAGTCTCAGGCACCTTTGTTCAAACTTCAGGTCAGATCCAATCATAGTCCTTCAAAAAAAAAACATTGCGGTAGTGGTAATTGCAATTTTTTCATTTTTCCAATTCGCATTCCTTACTTATGCAAAATGGCTCGTATCATGTCGTATGATTCTCATGTGAATGTTTCTAGGATATGGCACAAAGCAATGCTAGCATACCCGATGATTTTGAGGTTTGTAATTTTTTTTGGTTGAAACCAATTTCCTCATTTCACTGATTCTTATACCCTTACTTATATGGTGACAATTTTCTATTTTAAGTTTGTAATTTTTTACATACTTTGTTTGTTTCTTGAAGTCAGTCTTTATCAAATTTGAGACATTGTGATTGTAGAACAAGATTCCTCTTTTTCATTACCTAAACTTTGTTTTAGTGAACTATGAACAATATGACCGTTTAGAATTTCGCCCACAATATGCTTTTTTCTGAAAAACTGTACTACACTCCTCAGATTCGCACCCTGATTAGTAGATGAAGTCAATGATGTTGCGGCAATGTTCTTTTTATTTTTAGATGCCTATCAGCGCATTCGATATTCCTCGTTGTTATCAAGGTGATCTCTCTGCAGTTGTTATTACCGAAGGACTGGTTCGTGATCGAGTGAGAAGGCTAGCCAAAGGTAAACATCGGACTTGATTTGATAACGTAACACTTCCACAACTGGTGATATGTAGATATCCACGAAACTATTGGCGACAGCCAATTGTCTTTATTATGTGTGCTGAAAGGATCATACAAATTCTTCAACGCATTAGTGAGTGTTTTCAAAATCGAAGTCTCACTTCTACGTCATAATTGTATTTCAGGTGGATGAGCTTTCAAATGCTCGATGGACTTGCAAAGAGCCAATGACAGTAGATTTCATACGTGTAAAAAGTTACGAGGATGATGCTAGCACGGGCAAAGTTCAGCTAGTTGGTATGAGTAATCTAGAGGAACTTCGAGGAAAGAATGTTTTGGTACGTTCATTTTGTACTGTGCACTTACTCTCATTTTATCGTATTACATATTTACTCTTATGTTTGTGTGCCATACCTACATCGCGGTAGTTGTATATTAGATACGTTACTAAAGAGCCTTAGAATTTCCCTTTTTTGTTTGTTTACTTCATTTTCGGGTGCATAAGACGCTCCCATAGTTGGAATATTTGAAACCTAAAAGGGGCGCGTCGCTGCGCCCATGCCCATGCGAAGATGTGGCAGTCCATAATCACTGGTGAAATCGCCCCATGTAAGTATCATAGGTGGAATCCTAGCGCAAACTTTTGAAAATCAGGGTGGGTGTGGCTCATACATCTGAGAATACTGGTAACATTTTGCATACCTAAACTTTGTGCAATAAGGAGTGCAGTGATTACACTCAGATAATCGCCGGAGGCAGGCGGTCCGCAAACTCGCGCTTTTCTGCAAGCGGTTAGCAGAATTTTGGGGCGTGGCCAAACCTTCAGCAAGCGGTACTTCCTTTACTGTCTGATGTTCTGCCAGCGGGCAGCAACACAGAATTTTCTGCAGGCGCTCGTCAAATAAGATCTTTCAGCAAGCGCTGGTCAAATTTTCAGCTGGCGCTCGGAGGATTTCTAAGCGGTTTCGGGAGTACGCCGAGCAAAGGTGAGACTCTACATGACAGAGGTGTCATCGATGGTTTAATTACTCAAGTTTGAGGTACTTTCTCTCAGCGGAAAGTACCTGAGGGCTGCGCGGTCCTCCACAAAAGACCGTGCGGCACTCGAAAATTTTGCATATTCTCGCGGAAAGTCCGCGAGAATGCGGCCACTGCGCCGCAGCTAATCTATATGGAAACCGCGATTGTCCTCCAAGCATTCGTCTAAAATCTCGCTAAACTTCTTCCAAATATCTACAAGCGGACCGCGAAAAATCAGCAAACTATTTTTCCGGTGCCCGCCTGCCCATAAATCGCATGGCCGCCTGCCCCCGGCGATTATCTGAGCAGTAGAGTAGGTTTGGCTAGTAATTTGTGCAGTAGCAATATGCGAAAGCGCGTAGGCTTAACTCCAAACGAATCTTATGCGATTTCAGGTTGTTGATGATATCGTAGACACGGGCCTTACCCTATCAAAGCTCCTTCACACTTTAGAAGGTTATGGTAAGTTCATATGTCGTCTCAAAGGAAGCCTTCGGCAGATCGGCTACTTTGAAATATCCATCGCTGATTTTACTGTATGAGCCGAGTACAATGTGCGCAGCTCCTGAAGATATTGACAGCTCGCCCTTTCGGACGTGGAAAGCGCTGTTTGGGCAGGGGATGAAAGTCCGCCTTCAATAAGCGATTGGCTCCTGGAGATAATAATGCAATTGCCGCCGAGATGGGTGACGTGTTTCCACCCATCCGGACTCTACGAACCATCGCTCTCTAGAGGGCGGGCTTTCGCCTTCCGCGCAAACAGTACTTCCCATGACTGGAAAAATGAGTTACCGGTATCTTCAGAAGCCGCAAAGCAGGCCCAGCTCATCGAGGGGACTCAAGGACGTGAATATCCCAAAAATGCCAATCTGCTTAGCCACTGCCTCATGCACAAAGTTACCTTATTCTGACTCAGGAACCAAGAAGATCTGGACAGCATTGCTGCTTTCTAAACGTGTGCCAAGAAAAGTAAACGTTGCTGAGGACTTTGTGGCTTTCAACATCCCCGATAAGGTTTGCGTTTTTGGCTTGGACACTGCCACTCACTTCTACACTAAAATATGTATTTTCTAGTTTATCGTTGGTTATGGCCTTGATTATAATCAGAAGTTTCGTGATCTCAGTCATATATGCGTAATGAGCCCAGCTGGAGTCGAAAAATACAAAAACAGTTGATGGTTTTACATTAGAACGCTAGCTAGATATAGTGCTTGTTTTAACATAATATTAGAAACGTGTTGTTGAGCTCTGCATTTGTTGCTTTGCTACCTTTGCTACCTTGTCAGTGATCAACGTGCAAATATCTCTATCGACTCTGATATCGCTTTACTTACGTCACCAGAATAATAAATCAGGAAGAGCTTCTATGTACGTCATTGCAATCTTATGTATTGAACGAGACTTTACGAAGACAGAGGCAACATCTAGAAAAAATGAAGATTAGTCCCAGACGAAGACGGCTGCCAACGCGAGCACGGGACCGCTTTGAAAATGAACTTATCGACAAGAAATTTTCCTCCAGAACGGCCAAGACGACTGAGTTAGTTTGACACATCTTCGGTCGCAGACGCGACTTCGCAAAACTGATGCCGTTTGGTAAAGCCTATATGTGGAGCCGAACTGCAAAATGATGTGATGTTTGTTGACATTCCGAGTGCTAGTATAAAGTATCACTCGGTGCGAAACAGACTTTTTGATGGCGGCTCGGCTAAATTGTAGCGAGAGCACGACTTGTACAATAGCGAAATTGTATAGGGCAAGCGTTTCACCCCGCGGCGCGTGCTCCACATCCGGCTTGTGCGGTCAACGAATTAACCTCTCTTCCCCGGCACACTGCGGAAATGATTAGAAGTGAGATGCACGATCTTAGGAAGAGGATTGAGCAGGACAAAATTTGAAGGGTATGCCAAAAATGAACGCTTGATCAGCAGTGACTTGGCTCCATACATTATGTGGACTTAGTGCTGCACATAGAAGGCCTTAATTCAGCCAGTGACCTCAGTGACGTTCGTTGTGATCAAAGCGGGCTGTCGCTAGCTGGTAGGGTCGAGTTTTATGAGTTTCTTGGCTAGAGTGATCTCATGCTGCAAGCCTTGGACTAGTTTTAGAATGACAGAGTGGGAGGAAGCGCATGAAAGTATGCTGCGCAAGACAAAGAGTCAACAGTATGTTTCCAGACCTCTGGTGACGACGACATTGTCGAAACGTAAAGTCAGTACAATCTACCACCACAGAATGTGGTTGACGTAGTACACAAGCTAGTATTACTAACACATGAACACCACACCCTATAATAGATGCTGCGCTCTTTTCTGAATAGTTGCAAATGCAATGCCGCTTACCTTGATATCTTCGTTTGCGATATCAACTTTTGTCTTTTTGTTCTTTCTTCTTTCCTATGCTCTATTTCCGAAAATACTCTGCGTGTTTTCGCTAACTCCGCTCGTACTTATTTTGACCAATATCGTAAGACTGAAAGTCCAACTTTACATTCTGCATTTTTGTCAGATTCATCTTTGTGGACATGCACCCCTCATTCTCATTCCCCCCTCCCCCCTCCTCCAGCGAAGCCAGAGAACCCTGAATTACTGAGGTACCTATGCTCATGCCAAAAGCGGCCTACGTCCAGCTTTCTGCAAATTGCTTTTTAGTGGAAACGGTTTAATCAAAGTAGTATATTTTATGGTGCTACCTATCGCTGGACATGAGGACATGAGAAGGACCCTACTGCATAATACTTTTATGAAGTAAATTGATTCAAGTCCGAAATGTTCTGAAAAATAGGGAAAATGGGAGTAACATACAATGTAGTAGCTACAAATGAGTCAAACAATATACAAAAAACGTTATTTTGATTTCTATAAAAGCCATTATAAGTCACCAAATTATACGAGGCAAAACTTCTTGAGACATTACAAGAGTATCAAACCGAGTCATATATTCTTTGAACAACTTGAGACACGAAATTGTAAGCCGTGGAAGAAACCAGTAAAAATTAAGGAAAGATGAGACACGAAATTGTAAGCCGTGGAAGAAACCAGTAAAAATTAAGGAAAGATTGGCTTGCTCAACTTGAAATCTTAACAAGAAAGGTAAAAAAGCAAAAAAAAGCAAAAGTTAATCATTCAACTTAGTGTACTCCTCAAAGGGGCATTAAAAAAGAGAAAACTGCTCAAATGCATCAGTTATATCTTTAGAAGTAGTGCTTTCATCTTTCGCCGCGTTGGTTACACTCTGGGTATTGTTAGTGATGCAGCGCCGAGCTGGTCTGCGAATGGTCGGTGAAAATGAGACACGAGGTCTTGCAATTTGATTCACATTTGTTGCAAAAACGCTGCCTAAATGGGACAACATTTACCTGGTAACCTGAAGCACTTCATTGATATCACGGTAAATGCGCTTAGAGCGCGTATAGCACATAGGAAAGGATTAATAAGGTTTTGAAGCGGTACAATAGCGAGAGCACCAATTAAACTGCACGAATCTGGCCAAAAAGTTATTTCCAATGCGAGGAAAATCGTTACTACTTGGATGCGGCAAAAGCAGCCAAGTATGTATTTGAAGTGCTGAATTTGAGACTAGGCTTGAGAGTACCTATAAATGCCAAAAATTTCATGAAGGTTTTGGACATATCGAGGTATGAGCGCCGGTTTCAAAAGGCCTTCAAATCAATCACGCTGATGGGCGGAGCTGCCCTTTCCGCACCCCCTTCTGATGCAATCTTCTCGCTTTAGAAACCACCTCATTTAGCAAGGCTTTTGTAAATCTCTAACTAATGGCACCGCTACTTGTGGCACTGAAGTTATAAAATTTTACCCTCGCCCATACAAGAAATAAACTCACTTGCATTAGGGCTGGTAGAGATTCTCGAAACGTGTTCGGACCACTGATTTTCTCCAGGGTTAGACGAGAAGTGAGGTGCGCTGGCATTCTCATTCGTGTCACTATGATTATAGACATTGGAGCGAAAACCACTGTTATCGATAGTACTGTAGTATGAGGGGGCAAATGTGCTAGGTCTATTAATACTGTTATCGTAGAAAGGAGCTCCTCTCCTCCAGCGATTGCGCTGATCGTTGAAGTTGCCAGTTCTTTGCTCACGTCCTCGATAACGACGTAAAACAGACGGTTGGTTGATTATATTGGTGAGTGGACGAGAACGAAAAACATTTGAAGGTGGAGGACCACGTACGTCAAACATGCCACAGTCAGTATTCCAGTCACTGTGGAAGTCGCTGCAAAGATTCAAGATCGTACCTAGCTTCCAAAAATGAACGATAACGCTCAGCAACTCTAAATCAAAAAAATGTCCGCAAAACCAACCTTTCCACTTCGAAAAGGGGCACAGGAGGAAACTGAATAGAATTAACCACGTTGCACCTAGTGAGACCTCAGTTCAATACATATATAAGATGGTTACCAGACATACAGATTATGAGTGTTGTATACATACTCATTTTGACGCATTAAGGTGCGCGGTATAGCATCCTTGTTAGCGTGATGCTGCTCTGCTCTGAATCAAACTTACTGCGTCACTAGAGCTAACATTTGAAGTTTGTACTTACTCATGGTCGTCGCCGTTTACGGTGAGACCGCGCAGGCGAAGCGGAGGTGAACGCATTAGAGGATAGTGATCTGGCAGACCTATATGGGCCTGTCTCCAACATAGCTGAAATTGAACCTTTGAACTCCCTCTATGAAGGCTATCTCAATAAGAGTGTCACAGCCCTTCTAGCCGCCCCACCTAAACCTTGCGCTGCATTTGGGGAATGTATCTTTTTGTCATTTCAAGCTCGCCAATTCCCAAACGCTAGTAAAGCGTGGAAAAAGCCCAGATTTGCGAACGCGATCGACGATGTGGCGGCCCCAGCCGAGATGTGAGATTTCGTTGAGACAACCTATACTCCTGTTGCTTAAGTGGAATAACCGCTAACCTCACACATGAATTTGAGACATCGAAACTTGGGACAGAAATTCCTCGTCTTCACCGCCTGGCATATTTCGCATTCAACAGGTCGCATGAGGTATGGTTGAACTTCCACCTAACATGAATTATAAATGATCCTAACACGCGGAGTGCGACTCTTAGGGGACGGTCATAGGTTGTCGGTGTTGTCGGTGTTGTCGATGTTGTCGGGGTTGCCGAGGTTGCCGGTCGTTGTAGGACCTCATGATAGCCTCCACGTTTCGCGCCCTCTCTAAACTGTCTGTGACCCCGACAACACCGACAACCTATGGCCGTTCCCTTAGGTTACTGCAGAAAATCAGCATCTCTACTTATGCTAGACACTGACGAAGGAAGGCGATCACCCAAATGAGCTGAGCAGGCGCAAATCCTGCTCGGCAGTTCTTTCATTGTGAAAATGTCTGAAGGTGTTAGGGAACGGCCATAGGTTGTCGGTGTTGTCGGAGTTGTCGGGGTTGCCGGCAGGGTCAAGCGTGGGGTGTGGCACGCCACAAGATAAGACAATTTTTCCATTACAATTCCTCACAATTCATCTCCTACAGGCATGTCAATACGATAGTACGCCATCTGCGAATCTCGAAAAATTGTTATATCTTGTGTGGCGTGCCACGCCCCACGCTTGACCCTGCCGGCAACCCCGACAACACCGACAACACCGACAACATCGACAACACCAACAACATCGACAACATCGACAACACCGACAACAGCGACAACACTGACAACACCGACAACCTATGGCCGTTCCCTTAGAGCTGCATCTGCGTATGTCTTGCTACTCTGTACCAATCGCCTTCGTCCGGCAGGCAACCCTATATTTCTTCCGTTGCCAGTTCTGAATAGTTCTAAGCAAAACCCCACAACAACGTCAATGATAAAAAGAATTAAGTGATGAAAGAAAATCAAAAATCTTCCATAGTTTTAGCAACGGACCTGCTTGATATGGTCGCCAAAATTGAGGGAAACAAAGCGACTGGCAACTGCAGTTACAAATGCCTCACGGCAGCGGAACATAACACAACCGGCGCCTTTGGGATAATCCGTCTCTAATTCTACCTCAAAAGATGTTTATTTCACGAAATAGGAAATCAAGGAACTCTAAATCTGGTCCACCTCAATTCGTGCGAAGAGCACATCGCCATAAGTGATAGACATGTAGTCCGCAAGCTGCTCTGAAAATCAACACTATGGTGCCAAAGCCAGTGGAAATTTCATTGATGAGGAGTTCCTTCTAGAGTAGTAGAGAGCATACTTGCAGTCATAGTGCGGGGAATTCCTCCAACAAAAGCGCAGTTCTTGTTAGTCTTCAACATAGATTCGTTAAATTCAGGCGAATAATATTTTGCATCTCTGGTGTACCATACGCGAATGTGGATCTAAAAATTCAAATAAAAAAACCTTCCCGGCTTTCGATAGAAAGAACATCTGCAACGCACGTTAGCAGACTGTGAATTACCCATAGGCATGGTGATTGTCAGTCGGCCATTGTGACGTGTGCACATCTCTAAGAGTTTGTCCACCGAGTCAGCTGAGGCAAATGTCGCGAACATATAACCTGTAAGCAAGAAGTAAATGCAAGAGTTCAACTGCACAGTCTGTGTCAATTACGGCTCCCTTTTCCATAGGGATTACGCACCCGCAACGCGGAGGCCACGTGTGCAGAACTCTGAACTCTCCACACGCGCGCGAACGTAGCGCGAAAAGCTGGCGTTGCGACTGCGCCTATGGGGAAAAGGGAGAACTGACTGACACAGGCTGTAGAAGTCCTAAACACACCGTCATGTTCGCCATTATTGTCCACTGGCCAGCCAACTTCTACTTGCCCAAATAAAGAGAAGAACCTTTTGAGATCCTCTGCAAATCTAATTATTCGCTGTACTCGTGGTCAGAATTCATTTCTTATTACCTGTCCCAACTTGCATCGGGAGGCCACCAAGAAAGACTTTGCGAGAACAGAGTGGCTGCGACTGGGGTTTCAAAAGCAGCAAACACATCTCTCGTTCGAAAGCTGCATCACCTTCAGCGCCTACTGCTAAACATTTCTTCTGAGGAAGATCTACAGAAGTTTATGATCAACTATTATAAAGTACAGTTATTGACGCGCCATGTTAAAGCCGAAGTGCGTGCATACGGTAGTGGAGGAAGGCGGAAGTGCATGTGTGTGATCGCGCGCGAACTTAGCACGCGAGCGGCAACCAGCGTTTATTGCATCTATGTGCATCCTTGGAAACCTTCAGTGAATTCACATGCGTCCAAGCGTTTGCAAAGTGACATATGATTGCTGCATACACATCCGCTTCGCGACCGTAAACCATCCGCCTTCATCCGAGACTAGCCTCTGGATCCCTCATGGGAGCACTAAGGGAACGGCCATAGGTTGTCGATGTTGTCGATGTTGTCGGTGTTGTCGATGTTGTCAGTGTCGTCGGTGTTGTCGGTGTTGTCGGAGTTGTCGGAGTCAGAGACAGTTTAGAGAGCGCGCGAAACGTGGAGGCTATCATGAGATCCTACAACGACCGGCAACCGCGGCAACCTCGGCAACCCCGACAACTCCGACAACACCGACAACGCTGACAACACCGACAAACCGACAACACCGACAACACTGACAACACCGACAACACCGACAACATCGACAACACCTACAACCTATGGCCGTTCCCTAAGACAAGCAAAACGGAAATTTTCATCTCTCACTGATGAAAAATAGGCAAAATTATGTAACCTGTTTCGGTGATGTGGGTGGGTGGCTGAAGTGGGCCGACTCCCTCGGGTAAACTTCTCTCACTTGCAACAAAATTTTCTCCATTAGCATCTTCCATTGACAGCAGAGATGGTGGCGAATGCTTACATGCTTCCGGAGGTTCTGAAAAAAAAAATAATGTGTAGAGTACGCCGATGTTCGCCTTTGAAAACTCAATATCAGCTTTGATCTGGCGGCGATGTGTCAACAATGCTCAGACTCCAAACTGTTCCGCGCTGGTGATGTTGATGTGCTCATCACTTATCACACCAGTGATTTCATCAAAGCACCTTACGTGATCAAGCTAGATGAAGGCTACAGTAAATTTCGACCCGCTTCAGGCCTCGGGCAGAGTTCACGCGATTTCGTAGCGACTGATCGCAGCAAGACAACTGTAACAGTATCATTGCATCCGATCTTCTTGCATTTCGGTTGTGGTAGTTTTCCAACACGATTAATCATGATTAACTATCACAACCGAAATACAGAAAGATCGGCTTGCAATGAACTCGTAACACTTGTCTTGTAGCGACTGAGTCGAGACGATCAAATCGCGTGAACTCTGCCCGAGGCCTCAGGCGGAAACTGCATTAAAGGCACCGTCCACCCAAAACCTCGAATTCAATGTTTTTGTCGCCTTCAGGCCTTCTGAAAGCCCTAATTCCGAATTTGGAGTCGAAAATCCGCGAAACCCCCAAAAATTCCTGTTTCGAGAACCCTGTGCAACAAGCGCAGGCGAGAAGCATGCAAGTGGGCGGGGCGACCAACTTTGCTACTTCCGGAGCGGATTTCTCGCTCCAGAAGCAGCTTTTTGCGGCGAAGCTTGGGGTTTGCCTAGTGTGGGGGCCCACACTAATATGCCATCATACTCGCCAACCTCCATTTTGGGTGGACGGTGCCTTTAACGATCGTCCGCCTCGCAACGGCTCGCGCCGTTTCGCAGCTACAGTATATCGTGTGCGGAGAACCCAAATCTTCGTCTCTTCTTTGGCTTCGTTCATACTGATCTCAAAGTCCGGGAACAGTTCCAGCACAGCGCTCAGTTCCCGTACCTCCGGTTCAGTATGAACGCAGCCTTTCTCATCAGTATTTGCATGGCAAAATGCCAGCGCTATGCGCTCGCCAAGTCTCCAGCGATACGCACGCTCCGCTCCTCGTAGAATGTTTCGCCCGGGATGGAACCGACTGCACAAGACGGGGTGGAGGACTATGTATCGTCGAACATAGTAGGGTCACGGATTTCTCGCAAAAACGCACCCCCATGCATGTTAAAGGATGCGTATTTGTTGCAATGACCGCGGGGAACGCCCAACTTCGGCAATGTATAGCCCTCTATCTCTATCCCACAAGACGAAGGCGCAAAACTGAGGGACGCCTGCGCGGTATTATTAGCCACAGAGCGCATTACGCTCAGGGTTTATATACAAAGGTAAGAATATTGCGCGTCACTGTCGCACGCGTTCCACCGATAGCGCTTCGCCTTCGTCCGGCGGTAGGCTGTATGTCCATGGCTCACAAACTGGCATCAGATGCAGATCCGCGTCTACACTTCTTGGCGCGCGACTTGCCACAGCACAGCAGCCTTTGAAGCACCAGAGCGGACGCCAGCAGAGTGAGAATTGGTGCATGGGGATTACGCCAACTAGGACTAGAGCTCTACTGTACCCAAAACAGAAAACCAACTTACTATTCGGGACTTACCAGAGTTTCCGCTGATGTCAGTCTTTGGCGAAAGCATGACCGCGCAACAGTTCGCTCTAAATCGAAACTTTGAACCAAAGAAGATACAGTATGAAGATCTACTTAGGAACCTAATAATCTTGGAAATCAAGCACAAGTAAGAAAAGAGCAATGCGAGCAAATGACCAACAGTTGTCAACACTATGCGGAGCTGAACAGGCGAATACATGCCAGGAACATGTTAGGACTCGTGCACATCAGTACTAACGTGTTAGCTTGTCTATAGAAGGTTCTAGACGATGTCATAGATACCTATGACTACCATAATCCTTAAAATTCCTGCCAGTATTCTGAGGTTTTCTAGCTTTCTTTGAAAATATACATTCAATTCAATATTCCAACCAAGTTGCCTTTTCTCGAAATTTTTCGAGGTCCAAATCAAAGCGGAAGGCGGGAAAACCAGCCAAGTTCACATTTTCTGATGTATTAGTCTTTTTAAATCATCGCTAATTTCAAATTCCTTATCGTATAGGACAAACTGCGGCCTATAATAATGAACTCAGAATGAAAAGGACAAGAGCCCTTAGCTCGATTTCCAGCTAAGTTCATCTACTTTTTGAGGGGATTCTCTTTCACTACGCATTTCTCGCTTATTGCAAAACAGCCAAATCCCTCTACGAGTGCAAATCCGTTTTAATTAGCTCGCATTGTCGCCGCACATGGGATCAAATGCCGGACTAGTGGATACTAAACTATCGCAATGACACTGCATCCTCACACATTATTGCTACTGATTATTCTCATATTCCTTTTATTTTCTTACGTAAACAAATCTGATGGAATGATTGGACATATATCTACAAATGAACATGAAGAAGAAAAGCAGATACAAAAGTATCACAATCGACTTGGAAAACTACCAAAACGAGGTAGTTCAGATTTCTTTCAGATGGAGATTGTGGAGGAGTTCAACAGTGATGTAGGTGAAATCAATATATGGGTTCATATATCCCGCCTTTCATTATAGCCACTTCCAAATAGGACCGACACTCGGACCGCAGATGAAATGTGTAGCAATCATTCAGACTATCACTGTATACCGCCGCTGAGAAGCTTCGAGGCTGAATTCCGAGTCAGTAGATTTTATTATTGGGGTGCCCAAACCTGAGCTTGTCTAAAGTTGGGAACTGCCGCCAACGGTGTCATGTGGGGGACCCAAAAACTCAAATTCACGTCTTCGCTGGAATGTTCCCTATGGCGTTGTGCGATTCGAAGAAAAACCATACGGCGACGATAGATATCTATGGTTTGCTCCCCGGAAATGTTCCCTGCACCATCAACATGGCTGTTTTCGATTGCTTTAACACGTTGCTTCCAGCAAATTTGAGGCTCTTTTTTGACATGTTAAAATGATCGAAAGGCAGCCATGTTGGGGGCACCTATGGGAGTATCTCTGGGGAACAGTCGATACGGTACGGGGCCAAAATCGCAGATATCAAAACTTTGCCCAAAAGGGTGCTTGGTACGAATCAATACTTGAATAATATTGTAACCTTTGATTCAGCTGGACTGGCGGCTGGAAGACGGGGCTTTGTGACCTAACTGACGCTCGCGCCCGCTACGCAGTCTGCGTCCTCTCGCGCGCATGCTCTCCAATCATTCCTTAGCCTTGATTGGGTCACGAAGCCCCGCCTTCCGGCCGCCAATCCAGTTGAATCAGAATGTATTACAGTTGTGGTAATGTTAGTTCCTTGTTTGCTGATCTTATTTTATCTTGGTACGAATACAAATACCACTACATAATTTCGACCAAATGAATTTTTTCCGTTTAGATAAATGGTGATTTATCGATTACACATAATTATGAAGAAAAAGACATGTACGGATTGATCAAACAAGTCTATGAAAGTAATTTAAAGTGAAAAAAACATTGCAGTCTTTTGGATCTAAATAGATATAATGTTAGAACCACAACAATTTTTGGCGTAAATTATAAAACAAAACAGAAGTTTTGATTTTCATGTTAAACGATTTATTCATTCTAACTCAAATAAGTACCAAAAAATTTTTGGAGTGCGTGGCTAACGCCACGCATTTTCATGGGAAGAAATTGTTTGTCGCGTCCCTTCCGAACATGGGTACGCCACTGTATTTAGATATAATAGCACCATGGTATCTATTCAAAAACACACCAAACCTTATTTCACTTCATCTTAAATAGCTCAAATTTCAAGAAAGTTTGTAACCGCGCTCATGACAATAATACGAAATTATAGAAATTCTACAATACTTACTTCCAATCAACAACTTTAATGTGAGTAACATGATTATGGTACTCTAAGAAAGCATTATCAAAAAGTAATGCTTTTTGAAAATTTTACAATTATAGAATCTATACCAAACTCATTTTTAAATGCTCAAGATAGTAAACAGACCATCCTTCTTCAATAAAGAGTTTCGGGGAGTCCTACAAATGTTTTCACTCAGTCTAAGGGCAGGAACGAAACGGAGTTTGTAATATTGTCTTCCACATTAGAAATATCTATCAATATTACTCGTACATCGTCGACAATTTCTGAGATACCGTGGATACACGATGGACAAATTGGTCACTCTCGATTTTGCTCAAAACCTCCTTTTCCGTACATATCCATGCTATTTTAATCTATATCCCTGCTCTTTCTGTGCAACTGTACGACCTTCATCGCTCGTACGATACGACTGAGATGTTGTTGCCTAAGCACTTATGAAGTTGTCCTTATACACACATTTCTAGAGAATATCTTCCCCTTTTCCATGCACTTTTCTTTTATTATTTCCACTTCATTTTCATTCTCAATCCATACGCTCAAGGTGTTCCATACATAAAAAATGAAGTGTTAGTAATACAGTAAACAAGGCTGGAACAAATCATCATGTAGCATGAGCCCAGCCTAGAGCCGAGATTGAATTTGATGTTCCCGCCGACATGGATAAAGCATACATGAGTGCAGTAGTCAAGAAAAACTTATTACTTTCATCCTGTACAGTTTTCACTTTTTCCTGCTGTGTACCTCGTCTTCCAAATTTTCTTCTAGTACTGCTATCAGGAACGTCATCGAGAAGTGTGGAAAGTGATCCATGCTTGAAATTTCTATTACGGTATTTATCACTTTGATCAAGACTAAAGGATAGAAAGAAGCTCCTCAGTTTCCATTTTCTGCAGCTGTTTGTACATGATGTTTAGCGTTAGACAGATCATTATCGACTAGACGTAATTCCCACCGTATAACTTTATGCACTTTATTTTGAGCTTGCTCTTTCTTTGGTCAGAAAGGTCTGCTGCAGCTCCTTGGGTGTATGTCAAGCATAGATGCGATAGGTGGAGAAATTTCTCTGACCCCCTTCACTTTAGGGCCGGCATTTGGCTGACCCCTTTCACCTGAGGTTGAGACTAATCAAGGCAAACAGCTATTACAACGGAACTTTTTGTTTGGAAAAACGCCAGCTGCTCTTATCCTCAGACATCAAGACTGCAAGAGAGTATCGAATCAACAACGTTTCGTTAAAAAACGTATGCTTGAGACCTTTTGCACGCTCAAAGGGCGTTGATAACGAAACGCGTAATCAAAAAGTAAAAGGATGCTGTTTTTAAAATAATTAACATTGTATCAATGAATACATACTTTGCAAAAAAGAGTTGAGCAAGAGTAGAAAAATCTGAACCGACTAGCGATGGATGCATGTTTACTGACAAGAAATCATACCATATCTCTTTTCACTAGAGAAAATAATAAAAACAAAACAACAGTTAGATTACTCGTTTTTCATGCTTTCGATTCATATACAAAAGTTCGAAAAAGACCTTGGTTTGAAAATATAATTACCCAAAATTGGCTGATATTGTAGCTAGATAAAACTGCTTCACATAGAAGCTACGAAAAAAGAGATGGTCTACTTCGATTCCTCGTGTTCTTAGCTATCGAATGGTATGTAAGATGTTGGTGCACAAAGCTTTCCCAGTCCAAAAAAGTCTTGCTCTGGCAACCCATAGAAAGCCGGAGCGGGGTGGAGCAAGTTACTATTGAATATCTCCACCTCATTTTTGAGAAATCACAAGTTTTTCCACCCGACAACCTGTATACCATTAAAAAGCCCACAAAAAAAGGATTCGACGTAGACCATCTATTTTTCCTTAGCTCCCCTCTACTAAGAGTTACACGGGATTTTAGCCAAAAAGATGTGTGTTTTTGTCGAGAAATTTCTGCGTGAAGAATGGATGAAGGTGCCTGATTTTCTAACAGCATCACAGAGCAAGACATTGCCGATAAACGTAGACCGTCTCTTTTTTTTTATCTTTGTTCTTTTTTTCAAAAATAAATTACAAAATAAATACACAAAATTAGATGGTGAGTAGGCGTATAAAATTGCTCGTATCTCGCTCTACAGAGAAGCTATGAAAAAAGGGACGGTCTATGCCGATTCTCCATAATCTCAGCTTTCGAACGGTGTGAAGCATGTTAGGGCTTTTTTGCTTCCCGGCTTCAAAATGCACTTGCTCTGGTGACCGATAAAAGCCAATACATTGGGGGAGCTGGGTGGAGCAAGCTAATAGTAAATACCTCCACACCATTTTTAAAAACTGGCAAGTTTTTTCGCTTAGCAGTCTATATACCTTTCGAAAGCTCAGGAGAAGGGGACTCGACGTAGACCGTCGAATTCTTTCTAGCCCCCCTCTACCGAGAGATACACTGCATTTTATCTGAAATCATGTTCATTTTCAACAGCAGATTTCTGCCAAGCGAAGACCTAATCACTGCTGGTTATCTATCTGCGTTACAGAGCAAGTCTTCATTAGCAAACGTAGACCGTCGACTTTCTCGTAGCATTCTTTTGGAGAGCAGAAAGTGAGGACACAAAATTAGTTGATACATGAAGTACATAAAATCCCTCATATCTCGCGGCACAAAAGACCTAGAAAAAAGCCGAGGTCTATGTCTTCTATATGACCTCAACTTTCGAATGGTATGTAACTGTTGAGGCATTTTGCTTTCAGGGCTCACTTACCCCCTTCACCTTACAAGGATGAGAGTAGCAGAGACCCCCTTCACCTGGAGAGGGCCCGGCTCCTCCTATCGCACCTATGATGTCAAGAGGCGCGATTTTTATTGCCAGCTGGACACCAAATAGCACATAATAAGTGTTCTGCAACTTTCTAAAAGTATATGAAATCTAGAAAAAGATATATTAGATAGTTGCATGAGTTGTTCAATCTTGATACTCTAAAAAAAATTCAAAACAGCCATTTTGAAAGTCAAAAACTCATGAAAATGCATTTCAGAACACATACGTAAGTATCTTAGTCCGATTTACAGCAAAAACCATGCAAATCAACAAGTGGTGACCTCAGACGGAGAGTAAGCTAATGCACTTTATCCGGTAATTTTCAAAGACTCGCATTGCACTAAACTGGAGTTTTAAAGGCACCGTCCACCCGAAGTGAGGGTTGATGAGATTTCGGTGCATACTAGTGTGGGGGCCCACACTAGTATGCACCGAAATCTCATCAACCCTCACTTTGGGTGGACGGTGCCTTTAAGTTGGTGACAGCCAGAGAAATTGCGCCTCTTGACCGTCTCCCGTCCCCGGATACGACCCCCCCCCCCGCCGCGACTTAACTACCAAACATAATCAGTAGCAGACCGTAAGAATCATGTCGAATAACCTCAGAGCGCCAAGTTTTAGCGAACTCTCAGGGTTTCCAATATTTAGCTACCCAAGTAAAGTGCATTTTGAAACATAGTTGACTATACTTCGAAAATGAATTAGCTATCTCTTCCTTTACTCAATGCAAACCCACATCTTGCAAACCCACTCATCCTGCCTCAAATAACCATTAAACAACGGAACTGGGAGCCACTTAAAATCTCACTGAAGCGGATCAAAAACTGTAGCGGACTTATCTGACGGCGGACTTATCTGATGGGAGGACTTATCTGTGAGATTTCAGGGTAGATTTAGTGTGGAGCAATCCCCCATCTTTATTAGTTTAGGATTATAGGAACTTCTAACAATAGCGTCATGAAATGCCGTTAGACCATAAAAAATTCAGAAAAAACCTGGGAGTGTGTAGTAGCGTTTTCAGGATTACTTCTAGTGAGTAAAATTCTTTACAAATAGGTTTTCCAAGAATTTTGAATGGTTCATCACATACTTGAAACGCTAAAATAGGTTGTTGTTGACATATGAAAACTTAAAGTGCCATAATCTCAGAAATGGCACTGTCTCAAAATATGAACACCACACTGATGAGGGCTTTTCAAATAGTTTTTTGGGGTAGTTAACTAATGCTGTAATTTTGCTTCCGTACTGTATACTTACAGTAGCACAGTTAGAATGAAATTCGTCACGCAGCCATACATTTGCAGTGTTTACTGTTCTGGATTCGAAATGTTAGGACGAAGAGTGTAATCTATCACGCTATCTTGTAGCCGTATTTTTCCAAATCCTTTTTGACACCCATCATATTTGCATGCATCAAAATTAAGGTTGCACCGAAACACAAAATCTCGACGTGTGTGGTACAAAAAAGCATGTCAACAGTGATGACGGCAATATTCTGCTTTCTATTTGATGAGAATGGTTTTCGTCGAAGTGGAAGAAAGCTTCTCAGTGAGATTAAGCGTACCAGGTGGGGTGAGTCAATTGAAATTGTATATTCATCATGCATGAAATAGACAATGGGTGGTGGTGGCGCGACAACTGCCTCACTCTTGCCGAAAAGGGCATGGCATCAGAGGCGCCTCCACTCTAAGTTGAGGGTCTTGAGCTTTCGGCAGCATATGATAGTAGGGCTCCCTATCAAGCCAATGCCCAAGCCGCGGCGCAAAATTTTGCTTCGGAAGCGAGAAAACAGCTCCGGAATAACGAAGATGCACGAGGACCCCTAGAAGGCACCGCCGCTTTCCCCATCCATGCCCGCGCGAGGCCAGTCCAATTACGGTTACTGAAAGCCGGCCTGCGGGTAAGGGATTCTATGTTGCCGATAGGCTCCACCCGCGCAAACAATAACTCACTCTGTTGTCAATAAAATGTTCCAAAATTTGGTACAGCCGTGTGTTCACCGGTCTACTATCAGTCAGGTGATACAAATCTATATGCTTGTATAGTATGGAGCTGCGCGCTTTGTCGAAGACTGCATCGGTCCACCCCCTTTCGGGGATATATAGTCCTCTACACCTGGCCGCGGGTTCTTCGGAACGGGAATTTGGGGCTTTTGCGGTTCCTCGACCTTATATTCGGAATAAAGGAAATGAGAAGAGCCTTGAAACGACAAAAACTGGAAACGAGAATCTGAGTGGGCGGTGGCTTTGAACACTACTAAAATGTTACGAGGGGCTTTGGAAGACCGAGTGGAGGAGGAAGGCTATCTGGTTAAGAGCACATACCGGGCGTTCTTTTACACAACATTCAGTTTGAATATTCTTACTTCTGCAAAATGTCAGTTAGTAACTTTCTGAAGTGATAAGACAATTACAGATTTTGTGAACATCGCAACGAAGCACTATCAATGCGATCACTGCAGTGGCGGGTCCTTGTGCGTAATGAAGATGGTTGGGTGCATACGATGATTACAAGAGATCCTGTGGACCGTTTCCTATCGGGATTCGTTGATAAATGCATCAGGTATTGGAATCCTATGTTATGTTTGCTGCTGCAGAGCCATAGATGCTTATGAATTAAGGTGTATCATTCATTCTCTGACTAAGAGATGCGAGCACGCTTTGCGTACGTTTGATTAACAAGTTCATAAATGAGTTCCAACACGTTTTGATTAATTACTATCAGGAATTCATGAAGAAACGTGTTCAAGCCAGCGTGGTTTAACGAGCTCAAACATGTTCTCCCACGAATTCTAATAGTAAATCAGTCAAAACGCATTAAAACTCATTAATGAACTTGTCAATGAAATGTACACAAAGCATGCTTGGGTCTCCTTTAGAGAATGAATGATACACACATACCGCACTATGCTTGGGCCATCGCGTGGCTGCGGCTTTAGTGGCAAATAAAATGCTGGTTAGTTGAAATTTACATTGCAGAGCCCATCTGCCAGGTGCCTACTGTAATGGTTGCAAGGCAAATATGACATGTTTCTTGATCAGAGAATATGAAAGGATGGTGGCAGAGGTAAGTCGACTATACAGAGTGTCCCAAAAAGATGTGCACACTGTTTGATCGTTAATAACTCTCTTGCTTCCATGTCTTTTGCCGAGCGTGAAGTATCATTTTGTAGAGCGAGGATAAACTTAGATTTGCAGTATTAAGCGAAACTCCAATCTCTCTTTGCTACTGTAGGATTACGGTATGAACTTCCAGCATACAGCATCACTGTGGGATAAGCCTTTTGATGAAATAATTTCAAAAAAATCTAAAAAATTGTGTAGCAAGGTTTTCAGGCGTGCTGATTTCACTGCACAACTTTCCATCAGTTTTTCGAGCTTTCTTGATGGCGTATTCACACTTCTGCTGAACACTGGAGAATCAGTTGTTACCCTAAATCTGAATTAACTCATGAAAGAAACATTGTACTGACGTGCAGTTTTCATATTTAGAATCAGCGACTATGATTAACCCAATTCAAGAGTTTCTGGCTCATTTGGCTTTTTTCTGAGGCAAAATACAGCTTTCCATTGCTGAAAAACCTCCTCGAAATTCCTACCGTAATTCTACAGTAATGAAAAGCGGCTGGTAAGTCCCTCCATACTGTAGATCTAAGTTTATCCTCGCTCTACAGAATGGTACCTCATGCTCGGCAAAAGACATGAAAGCAAGAAAGTTATTAACAATCGAACAGTGTGCACATCTTTTTGGGACACCCTGTATAAGGTGCAAAAATGAAAAATGATTAAAAATTGCTGATAAGGTCAAAATTTAATTGGAACTTATGTTAGTCGAGAACATTTCCAAAATTATGATAGGATGGGAAAGTGACAGAACTTTTTTTGAAGATTCGTTTTTTGCCCATGCTATTCGAGAAAATTTTTGAGATGCTTCTCGATTTTAGCGATCACGTAACCCAAAGATTACAAGAGAAGAAATTTTAGTTCATTTTCTAGAGAACTTTTGAATTTTTTAAAAATAGTTGCAAATAAAAACAAATCACTTGCACAAGTTTAAGTTAATCGTGTAATCTTGAAAAGTCCCATTGGAACAGTGTATTTTGCGTACGAGAGCTTCTGTTGAGGTTGTCCCATAGATTTTTACCGTTTTTACACTAAATATTAGCATTTCTTGAGGACTGGGGCACCTACAAAGGTACAAATACACATTCGTACTTCCCTGTGTATGAGCTACATATCACATGCTTGGGAGGAGCTCAGGAGTCCTAGGGGCGGAGTTTGCCATTTTACTCCATTCATTTTTCTTTTATTTCTAGCCATAGAAACACGGAAAGTGTACAGTCGAATGTTCGATGTGTCAAATATATGTTAGATTTTTTGGGGGCGGAGATACAATTTTTGATGTTAGTTTGTTTTCACTGCTATTATCAGAATTCAGCTTAAAACTTTACGTGGAATAGGATTTGGGCAGATTCTTGGTAGCCATCTTGCAGAGCTTGCTTTAGGCCCCGGACAGACTTCACGCGGTTTGATCGTCGCGACTGATTCGCGACGAGACAACTGTTACAACATCATTCCATGCCGATCAACTTGCATTTCGGTTGTGATACTTTTTCCAACCCGAAATTTTTGAATGTGAAATGAAAACGAATGGAAATGTCGGCGATTGAGTCGCGACGATCAAATCGCGTGAAGTCTGTCCGGGGCCTTACCCTGTCGAATAATTACTCAGGCCACGTCAATTGGAGAATGATAAAAAAACGGCGGTTGTAGCCAAAATAGATAAAAAATATGGGACACCCTAATAATACGAATAAGAGCAGGCGAAACGATGTCTATAGTTTGTTCCATATGCTGGACGCCCCAGCAAGCACATTCGGTTACCTCACGTACCTCACTCACTGCACCGGATTGCGCTATAAAATACGAAGTTTGAATTAACGTTCAATCCGCGAATCTCCTAAAATCTCGGCATTCATAGTTTCGAGTTCTCTCATAATCGGCATAGAATTATATATTCACGAGCTGGCATCCCGGGTTCCACCCCAGTTT